TGGGCTGAGCAAACTGCCTGCTGAGTCATCCCCGTGTACTTCCCTCTATTTAATACTGAGCCAACCAGCTTCTGAAGTTGGTCTATGCCTTTAAGATAAAATAAAGAACAGAAACAAGAGGAGAAAACTGTGGTGGCCAGAGGGAAGTCTCCTCTGTTCTTCACTTCCACACACAAACCTTGGCTATACAGACTTTTAGTGGGAACTGTGAATGCTTGGCAACCAGCATCTACTCCAACATCCTGATGGCCACAGAATCCACCCATCCAAGCTCTGGCGGGAGCAGGAGGCCATGTTGTCATCTGTTATGATGGAGATGGCCTTGCACCTGTGTCATTCTACAGAAGAATGAGACACAGGCGCCTTGGTGGCAGGCCCTAAGTGTGCACAGCCCCTGGGCTCCTGGAGGGTGATAGAAATTTCTGCTTCCTCAGACTTGGGTGCCTACTATCCCCTATCCCCCTGCACCCCACTTTACTCTTGGCCAGGAGTTGGCTTTGGAAACGAAGCAGAAGAGGGCTGTTGAGGACAAGCTGAGGTGGTGAGGGTGCTGCAATCCCAGCAGGTTCCCAGGAGTGAGCAGGTGGAGAGATGACGAGCCCGGGGCCAGAGAGAGCACTTCATCTACAAAGTGCTTGTCTTGAAAGTATGACAACTAAGTTCAACCCTCAGAACCCATGGGAAAACCTGGTCATGGTGGTGCACACTCACAAACCCAGCACTGGAGAGACAGATCCTTTCAGCTCGTTGGCCAGCCAGCTGGCTTCCTCGGTGACCTCAGGTCCCATTGAAAGACCTTGTCTCACGAAAATAATGTACATGGCTTCTGAGAAATGACAGCTGAGGCTGTCCTCTGTCTACACACACACACACACACACACACACACACACACACACACACACACACCACGGAAGGAAGGAAGGAAGAAAGGGAGACAGAAAATTTTAAAGGAGGTGGGGGTTGATTGACAGCTCAGCCAGAAAAGCCCTTGCTTTATGAGCAAGTCCAGTGTCAGGCCCCCTGGGGGAAAAGCCAGGCATAGCTGCACACACATGGGGTCTTAGCACCGGGAAATGGAGATAGAGGACCCAGGGGCTCCCTGTCAGCCTTCCCTGGCTCAGTGAGTAGTGTTGTCTCTCAAAAACGAAGGTAGATGCTGCTACTGAGTTTGTCCTCTGTACCCCCCCAACATCCTCAAGCTCATGCAAGCGCGCACACACACATACGTACACATACACACACACACAGTCTTGTGTCTCCCTCCAGGGCAGGATTGAGCATCTGGACTCTGTCAGTGTGCCACTATCACTGGGAGGCTGACATTTGTGCCCCATATCGATGTCCCACCCCATCCCACCCCCTCTTTTAAAGAGGAACTGATAAACCCAGAAAAAGGGACTTGTGTTCTGGAATTTTCCTCAGGCATCCAGCTGCAATGACCAACTACCGGTTGGGGATTTTGAAGTGTGATTTTATTTTTTGAACCACAGATGGGCTATCCAAGGCACCAGAGCACTACCCTGTATGTTTGTCTGTCCTGGAAGGCAGTTGTGTCTCCACTCAAAATCCAGGCCAGCTTCCTGTGGTCTTTCTTGATTTACTATTTCATTCACATTTACACAGAAGGACAGAGAACAGTGGAGCTGGTGTCCTCCTCACTGGGGTCCTTGCCAGTGTGGCCGAGCTGTCTTGTCCCCGGCCCCTGCTTCTGGACTCATGCGTGCATCTGCTCAAAGGCTGCTGCCAGCAGGAAGGTGACTGAGAAAGGAAGGCAATAATGCCTTAGCCAGCAGTCTCAGCCAGCTGACTGGGCCACCTGTCCCCACATACCAACTAGAAGAGACGAGAGAGAGAGGAGTGTTCAGTGTGGTCACATTAGGAAAAGGACCAGATAGATGTGTCCAGGGCCCCCAACTCTGTCTTCAGGGAATTAGCAGGAGCATTGAGTTTAACTGGAGAAAGAAAGGAGACAGTGCTGGCAAGGGATAGGCGTGGTTCGGCAGCTCTGGAGAGAGCACTGGTGAGGTTAAGCAGCTCTGGAGAGAGCACTGGTGAGGTTCAGCAGCTCTGGAGAGCACTGGTGAGGTTCAGCAGCTCTGGAGAGAGCACTGGTCAGGTTCAGCAGCTCTGGAGAGAGCACTGGTCAGGTTCAGCAGCTCTGGAGAGAGCACTGGTGAGGTTAAGCAGCTCTGGAGAGAGCACTGGTCAGGTTCAGCAGCTCTGGAGAGAGCACTGGTGAGGTTCAGCAGCTCTGGAGAGAGCACTGGTGAGGTTCAGCAGCTCTGGAGAGAGCACTGGTAAGGTTAAGCAGCTCTTGTGAAGGTGTCTGACAGCACTGTCTTGATCTCCTGAAGGTGGGCCTGAAGAAGTCACTACGATCATGGCCTGTCAGGTTACAGCGTCGCTGCTGCTCCAGCATGTGGCCTCGCAAGGGCGGGCGAGTGTGAACATGCCCTGTTGGGCAGGCTCACCTTAGCTGGGTGTAGTTTTGAGTCACTTGTCACAAAGCTCAGTTCCTGAAATCCAAGGTGACTGGAGAAGAAAGGTGGAAGAGGGAGACACAGGGCTGGAAAGGCACAGGGTGGAATTATGCCAGGAACGAGTGCCCTCCATGCCTGCACCACACTAAAACGCAGAACATTCCAGAACGCCTGAGGGCTGACAGAAAGTAAAATAGGATGCTTGGTGTGGAATTCATGCAAGAGATCCCACGTGCAGGTGTGGGAGAAGTAAAGAGCCAGGCATTACTGGTGAGTGCTGCAGAGGCAGAGCTAGGCCAGCCTCCTCAGAGGGTGGGTTCCAGGCCAAGGAGACCTCTTCTCTGAAAACAAGGTCGATTGGTTCTCAGGAACAACATTGGAAACTGATATCTACCCCCCCACACACACACAGAGGCACACTCACATTCTCTAGTGCAAACTAGGCATGGCACTTCACGGTTATAATCACAGACTTGGAAACCGAATCAGGAGGACTACAAGTTCTAAGCCAGCTTGAGCTACTGGGGCAGGCTCAGGGGGTAAAATGATTGCTATGCAAGCAGAAGTAACCAAGTTCTGATCCCCAGCACTCGTGGAAAAGACAGCCATGGTGGCACATTGCCAGGGGCCAGCCCCAGCAGTTGACGGTCATGTCTGAGGAGATGTAAGTAGGTGAGGGACGGAGTGAGCCAGGCACGATGGTCTGACTGACTAGCGGCCAGAGTGCTTCTTTATTTTTACAGAATTCAGTAAGCAGGGACAGATTGATGTTGTTCCGAAACATAGACCATATCATTTTTGGTTTTGGACATGTGTCTTACTTTCTCTTGCACATCTTTTAGTCATCATTGATAAACCATGGTACAACGGAGTTATCTTTTACTATCATTTTTCCCTCAAGTTTAATCATCATCGATAAAGTTATTTTTGACAACCATTTTTAGTCACCAACCCCATAACCCAATTATTAAGAATCTAGAGGCACATGACAGCCTGTTCTCAGGCTAGTAGCTTTTGTGGCTACAAGGACACTAGACCGAAGCAAAATCTCCAAGCCAGCCTGGGCATATTGTCATGCCCCAAGCAGTGTATTATAAATCTTAATGGTCAGAGTGCCCAATAAAAATCCTCAAGCAGGTATTATTCAAATTCTGACAAAATACAATGCTTATAGTTTATATCTTTATAGAATTTGTCTATATGTCTAATCCTGGCATAGTTATGTTCCTTGATCAAATGACACCATAGTGGCTCTGTATGTGCTAACCTTTCTAAGAAAGTGAGGTCATGACATGTTATTCTTTTATCGTCTTTCCACTCCATTCTTTGCCCATCAATATGAGTCTCTGTGAAGGGCAGAGTAAAGTTCAGCATATATGCCATGTAATTGCCTGAGTGTATGGTGCGAAGAGGCTTGCAGTCTGATCTGTGCCAACTACTCTGAATCTTGGTGACCTTTTTTTTATGAAGTAGTCATTTTTTATTACACAGTACTTTTCTTTAAACTTCACAGTACATCTTTTCTTCATAGTTTTTAAATATTTATCCTTGGTTATTTAGTGAATCAAAATGTGAAACAGCATAATAAATAAATAATATGTGGTACACATACTTTTAGTAAATGCAAACATCATCTAGAATTCCACATGGACAACATTAATGGTATTACGTTTGATTCTCTATGAACGATTGCAGAGGATCTTAGCACCTATATTCAAAGACACATAATTCCAAGTGGGAAATTCCTGTTGACCTTCTAAAGTTTACTTTCTTTAGATTATCTTGTTTCTCAGTAAATACAGGGACAGATATCTCATAGCCTCATAAAGAGACCTCCTGGTTTCTTTATGTGTATCATAACTTCTGAGGCATAAGGAAGACCTTCAAGTACATAAGGATATCTCCCTAAAAGCAGGAGGGTTAGTATGTTCAGGATTTTTCCTGAGAAAGATTAGAAGCAGAACTCCTGGGAGAAGGCATAAATGATTCATAAGAAATTTTCCATCATCCCAATATCCAAAAAATAGTACAAATATTAAAAGTCCCCCAAGTATGCAGCAGATGGAGATGAAAACCAAAGGTGGCACTGTGGCCATCACGCGCCTCAGCTTTGCTGGATCTTTGACTAGAAGCTGTGCTGGCCTCATGACTTTTTCCATTCCCATCAGATATGGCAGTGCCAGCACATGCCTGCAGCTCCAGTGCTGGTCATAGAGACAGGCTCACTGACTGGCTAGCCTAGCCACAACTGCTAGTTCCAGGGTCAGTGAGAGACCTTGTCACCAAACTGAAGGAGAGAGGCTGAGTGTGGTGACACACACCTTTACTCCCAGCACTCGGGAGGCAGAGGCAGACATATCCCTGGCAATTCCAGACCAGCCAAGGCTAGATAGTTAAGGACTTGCCTATGAATAAATAAATAAATACACACATACACAAATACATAAATAAATATTTTTAAAAATCATAAAAAGGTAGAGTGGTTGAAGGAACTTGTCATTGTCCTCTGTCCTTTACAGAATCTCATCCAGGTGAGTGCACCTGCCCATACCATCTGCATAGTCACAGGTGAGCACACCTGTACACACATCTGCATACTCACAGGTGAGTGCAGCTGTACACACATCTGCATACACAGAGATGAGTGCAGTTGTGCATACATCTGCGTACAAGCAGGTGAGTATACCCATGCACACATCTGCATACACACAGGTGAACGCATCTGTACACACATCTACATACACACAGGTGAGTGCACCTGTACACACATCTGCATATGCACAAAGAAATCTAAGCATAAACCATGAGAGCAATTTTGAAAGTAAACAAAGAATTGCCCTTCCCGTCCTTCGTTCCTTCCTTCATTCTTTCCTTCCATCCTTCCTTCCTTCCTTCCTTTCTTCATGTGTGCAAGGGAAGGTGCAGACATGTGTGGTGGTCAGACAAGTTGCAAGAGTTAGTTCTCTTTTTACCATGCAGGTCCTGGGGATGAGTTCAGAATGTCACTTGCCAGCCCAAGAACAGTTTGTAGACAGTTGTTAGACTCCTGCTGCATTTAGGGCAGTGGTACTTACCCCTTGTTTAGGGCTGCTGTGAAAGGTGGTGAGAAGCAGTTGTGTGTGCCAAGCTGAAAATAGTCCAGTTGCCTTCTGCACAGACACCTTCTTGGCTCTTTTGGGTAGCACTCAGGCTGCCATTTGGCACTGTTACTGGCTACTCCCTGTGTGTGTACACTCAGGTGCCCATCCCCTTTATTTTATAATCGATGCTTTATTCTTTTGTTGTTGTTTTTCATTTTTTATTAATTTTTTACATTCCAATCCTAGTTCTCCCTCCCTCCTTTCCTTTCCTTCCAAACCCTCCACTCACCCTCTTTTCCCATCTGCTCCATGGAGAGGGTAAAGCCTCCTCTAGGAAGTCTCTAAGTCTGTCCCATCATCTAGTTGAGGCAGGACCACGGCATCTCTTCACCTCCACACCCCTGTGTGTAGGCTGGGCAAGGTATCTCTCCATATAGAATGGGCTCCACTAAGTTAGTTTGTGTGTTAGAGTTAGATCTTGGACTCACTGCCAGTGGCCTCATATGTTGTCCCAGTCACACCATTGTCACCTATATTAAGGGAGTCTAGTTTGGTCTTACACAGGTTCCTGAGTTGTCGGACCTGAGTCAGTGATCTCTCACTAGCTCGCGTCAGCTGCTTCTGTGGTTTCCCCATCATGGTCTTGACTCCTTTGTTCATATTTTTGCTCCTCCCTCACTTTGATTGTGCTCCAGGAGTTTGGCCCACTGGGTTAGTTGTGGATTTCTTCATCTGCTTCCATCTGTTTCTGGAAGAGGGCTCAAGGTTCTCTGGGGTTGTGGATTGTAGGCTAGGTATTTTGTTTTATTTCTGGTATCCACTTGTAAGTGAGTACATACTATATTTGTCTTTCTGGTTTTGAGTTACCTCACTTAAGATTTTTTTTCTAGTTCTGTCCATTCGCCTGCGAATTTTAGGATGTCATTGTTTCTTACTGCTGAGTAGTATTCCATTGTGTAAATATACTATATTTTCTTTATCCATTCTTCAGTTGAGGGGTATCTAGGTTGTTTCCAAGATCTGGCTATTACAAATAATGTTGCTATGAACATAGCTGGGAAAATATCCTTGTGGTGTAAATGTGCTTCCTTCAGGTATATGCCCAACAGTGGTATTGCAGGGTCTTGAGGTAGGTTGATCCCTAATTTTCTGAGAAATTGCCATACTGATCTCCACAGAAGCTGTACAAGTTTGCATTCCCACCATCAATGGAGGAGTGTTCCCCTTTCTCCACATCCTTTCCAGCACAAGCTGTCATTGGTGTTTTTTATTTTAGCCATTCTGATCAGTGTAAGATGGGATCTCCGAGTGGTTTTGATTTGCATTTCCCTGATGACTAAGGATGTTGAGCATTTCCTTAAGTGTCTTTCCACCATTTGAGATTGTACTGTTGAGAATTTTCTATTTAGATCTGTACTCTATTTTTAATTGGATTATTTGGAAGTTCGATTTATAGTTTCTGGGTTCTTTGTATATTTTGGAGATCAGCCCACTCTCAGATGTGGAGTTGGTGAAGATCTTTTCCCATTCTGTAGGGAGCTGTTTTGTCTTGCTGGCCATGTTTTTTGCTCTACAGAAGCTCAGTTTCAGGGGGTCCTGTTTATTAATTGTTGCTCTCATTACTGGTGTTCTATTTAGGAATTGGTCTCCTGTGCCTATGTGTTCAAATGTATTTCCCACTTTCTCTTCTGTGAGGTTCAGTGTGGATGATTTGTGTTGAGATTTGGACTTGAGTTTTGTGCAGGGTGATAGATATGGATCTATTTGCATTCTTCTACATGTTGACAACCAGTTATACCAGAACATTTGTTGAATATATTTTCTTTTTCCATTTTATATTTTTAGCTTCTTTGTCGAAAATTAGGTGTTCATAGGTGTGTGGGTTGATATTGGGTTCTTCAATTAAATTCCATTGGTCTATCTGTTTTTATCTCAATACCAAGATGTTTTCATTACTATAGCTCTACATTAGAGCTTGAAATCAGGGATAGTGATGCCCCCACCTTAGCCTTATTCTTTAGAGTGTTTTTGGGTCTACAGAAAAACTAAGCAGAGGGCTGGGGGTAAGACTCAGTTGGCTCAGTGCTTACCAAGCATGTGCAAAGCCCTGGGTCTGATCCCAGCTCTCCATAAACCGGAACTGAGGGTGGGCACCCGCAATCCCACAACACAGGAGGTGGAGATGGGAGGATCAGAAGCTCAAGGTTATCCTTGGCTACATAGTGAATGGAAATGAGGTTGGGATACATGTAATGTGAATTCTAATTCATTTTAATAATAAAAACCCAGAGTCGGATATAGGAGTTGATGCTGAAAGATCAGAGAAGCAAAGTAGCCAACCACTAGTTCTTACCTCTACTAAATCCTCAGACAAAAGGGATGATCCTGTCCCTTAAAACGAATCCTCAGACTGAATGCAATGGGCTCCTGTCTCCTAGTGCCTTATACTCCTCTCTCTGCCCAGCCATAGCTATCACTCCTGTCTCCTCCTCCCTAGTGCTGGGATTAAAGGTGTGTGACTCCCAAACACTGAGATTAAAGGTGTGAGCCACCACCGCCTGGCTCTGTTTCTTTTTTAGACTGGATCAACCTTGTGTAGCCCCGGGACATCCTTGAACTCACAGAGATTCAGTGCTGGGATTAAAGATATGTATCACCACTGCCTGGCCCCTATGGCTAACTAGTGGCTAGCTCCTAACTCTGATCTTCAGGCAAGTTTTATTTGTTAAACCATAAACAAAATATATCACCACAGATACACAAAACCCTGTCTCAAGAAAAAAAATACAAGGAAAAAAGTAAAATAGAAAAAGAAAAGCAGCAGAAGCTGCAATTCCCACATTTCCTCTTCAATTCCCATGCCACAGCTGGCACACTTGTTACAGCTACTGCACCATACCGTACCAGCCAAAGTGCAGCCTTTCCATAGGGCTTTTCTCTCCCTTCTGGTCATACATTCTGTGGGATGTGATAAATGTGGGGTAATTTGCACCCTCTATTATACTATCACAAAGAATAGCTTTGCGCATCCAAAGTTCCCTATGCACCACCTGTGTCCCCTCCTCCAGGTGGCCATTTCACCATCTCTGTAGTTTTGTCTCTTCCGGTACATTGCCATTGTGTGATCGGCTGACGCAGCCTCTTCACACAGCTGATTTCACCTAACAGTGTGTGTTTCACATGCCTCCTGTCTCCTGGTGTCAGCGTAGTACATTTCTTTGGTGGGATTGACATCCATGGTCTGGCTGTACTTACAACCTGTGTATTCCTCTACCGAGCACAGGTTAAGACCTCCAGTGAGACCTACACCTACTGCATGTTGAGAGCCTACCTTGTGTCCCCCAGGGAAGATGACAATGGCTGTCCACTCCAAGACTTGTAACTGTGAAAATGGGTTTATGAATAAAGGAAACTTGAATGAACTTGTTTTGGGGGTCTGCCCCTTTCCTTACTGAGGTCATTTTTCCTACTCTTGCCTGTTGTTGAATACTAGTTAAAGATGTGTTATGTTCATTTATGTTGTGGAATATTTGTTTAATGATCCAAAGATGTGTTACATTCTTTTATGTTGCACTTGTTTAATTCTGAGCAGCTCTCTTACTTTGCCTGTCTAAAATATAAAGAGCTGAATGGCCAATAGCAAGAGAGGAGAAAGAACAGGTGGGGCTGGCAGGCAGAGAGAATAAATAGGAGGAGAAATACGGGAAGAGGGTGAGGAGTGAGAAAAGGAAAAGGAGAGGAGGGCACCAGGGGCCAGCCACACAGCCACATAGCCAAACAGCCACACAGCCTTTCAGCCGCACAGTCACACAGTCACACAGTCACACAGCCACACAGCCACACAGCCACACAGCCACACAGCCACACAGTCACACAGCCACACAGTCACACAGTCACACAGCCACACAGTCACACAGCCACACAGTCACACAGCCACACAGTCACACAGTCACACAGCCACACAGTCACAGAGTCACACAGCCACACAGTCACACAGCCACACAGTCACACAGTCACACAGTCACACAGTCACACAGCCACACAGTCAGTCACACAGTCACACAGCCACACAGTCACACAGTCACACAGCCACACAGTCACAGAGTCACACGGTCACACAGCCACACAGTCACACAGCCACACAGCCACACAGCCACACAGTCACACAGTCACACAGACACACAGTCACACAGTCACACAGTCAGTTACACAGTCACACAGTCACACAGTCATACAGTCACACAGTCATACAGTCACACAGTCAGTTACACAGTCACACAGTCACACAGCCACACAGTCACACAGCCACACAGCCACACAGTCACACAGCCACACAGCCACACAGCCACACAGTCACACAGTCACACAGACACACAGTCACACAGTCACACAGTCAGTTACACAGTCACACAGTCACACAGTCATACAGTCACACAGTCACACAGTCACACAGTCAGTTACACAGTCACACAGTCACACAGCCACACAGTCACACAGTCACACAGCCACACAGCCAGCCATGGAGTAAGAAGGAAAATAAGATACATAGATTAAAGAAAGATAAAAAGCCCAGAGGCAAAATGTAGTTAAGGAGAAATGAAATAACTTAAGCTAGAAAAGCTGGCTAGAAACAAGCCATGCTAAGGCCCAGCATTCATAAGTAAGAATAAGTCTCCATGTATTTATTTGGGAGCTGGGTGGTTGGCCCCCAAAGAGTAAAAAAACCAATTACATTGCCCTTGAGATAGTAGGCTTCTTGGTGTCTCCTTGAAGGGAAGGGTTGGATACTGAGTAGAAAATACTATCTGTTGAGCATGAGGAGGGACCCTTTGCGCATTGTGGGGGATTAGGAGTCCTGGGAGATCCCTTAAAATGCCCCCCCCACAGCATGACAAAGAGAAAGTTGTGGCCAGAGGGGAATTTCACTGTGGCTCCTTGGTGGTGGGACCAGTTTGAGTGACACTGGGCTAACAGCTGTTCCCAATTACAGAGTAGTGTGTGTTTCAGAACATGGCATATGCCGCCGCCACCATACCATTTCTGCAGGGTCCTAGAAAGGGACGCTGCTCCTTTTTACAGAGGAAGGATGAGGCCCTTCTGCTCATGTGCTCCTTCATGTGTGAATGAGCATGTTCCCGTGTCTGAGTGCATGTGTGGTCAGAGAACAACCTTGGGTGTTGGTCTTCAGCCTCCATCCTACTTTGAGAGTTTCCATGTTGTTTTCCCTCTATACAGGCCAGCCTAGGCAGGCCTGGAAGTTCCTGGGGATTCTGGTGTCTCTGCCTCACCATACCCATAAGGATGACCAGACCTCAGACATTCCTGATATGTCCTACCTGCGGACGGTTGTGAGCGGCCAGACATGGGTGTTGGGAATAGAGCTCTTGTCCGTCTGAAGGAACAGCAAGTACTTTAACCTCTAAGACATCTCTCTAGCCCCTGCCTGCCATTAAAAAAAATCCATGTTTTATAACTAATCCAGAATTGGCATGTGGACAGACCACTGGCTAGTGAGGCACGTAGTCTGTGGTATTTTATGTAAAGAATTAGTTGTTTTTTTTTTTAAAGCAAGGTTTTATATATCCCAGGCTAGCCTCCTCACCCCCTTGTGGCTGATGACCTTGAACCTCTAATCCTCCTGCTTCTTCCTCCCAAGTGTGGGCATTCCAGGTGTGCCCCAACACACCTGGCCTATGAAGTGCTGGGGTCACACCCAATGCTTGTGCAGGCTAGGTGACCACTCTTGTCAACCAAGCTACACCCCGACCCCTCAGAGTGCTGTCCTCCCGCCATCCCGTGGCCGATGCTGCCGTTTTTGCTCAATCTCACTTACACGCACTCCGTCTGTGTGCTTTTTGGAAACTGGGATACCACTGAAAGCCATGTCCTCCCTGTATCACCCATTGCCATCCACATGTTCCTTGTGGCCATTGCTATCTGCCTCAGACAGGTCAGTGGTCCTTTTCTAATGGTCTGTCTGGGTTCTAGTTCTCTGACTTTCTAAAAGCTCAGGCTCTTCTATAGGCAGGCTGGCATCTGAAGGCACACAGCTCGGTAGCCAACTTCTGAGGAAACATCGGCATCTATTTACCACTCATTGCGACTGGCATGAGCCAGATCCCCATTAGTTTCATCACTATTTCCACTCTCCAGCAACATGCCTTCCCCCGTGGCCTGAGAGCTCTGCGCCCCATGAGCTCACCTGTGCTGGTGGAATGACCCAAACTTTACTTTTAGGGAACTGTTATGGCCACTGGATGGGAAGACAGAAATCAGTCTCACTTCACTTCAAAGGTGAACTTGTTTCAAAGAGGGCAAATGACGTTTGGGATCAGATTGGGGGAAAGTCCTGGGTTCTTGGAGGGAGAAAACACGACAGTGCCGTAACACGTTTCAGAGGCTGGGAGGTAGCTCAGGTGTGAAGTGCTTCCATAACACACACAAGGCACTAGTTTGATCCCTGGCAGCACACACCTGTACTCTAGCACATGGGTGGTGTAAGGAGGAGAATCAGAAGCTCAGGGACATCAGTGGCTACACATTGAGGCAAGCCTGGGATGCATGAGATTTGTCACTTTGGGGAATGCTGAAGTGTGTCAACAGTACCGTTACTTGAGCTTTGAGCTGAACCACCCAAGGACAAACGGTCACTGGTGGTGCCAGAGTGAGTTTAATGATGTTGTTCTTGGGTCTGAGTTGGGGCACCTCCTGGGTTCTCCCCAGGCACCCCCTGGCCACCTTCTTCCACCTGTTCTTCCGAGTGAGCGCCATCGTCACCTATGTGTGCTGTGACTGGTTCAGCAGGAGCTTCGCCGGCTGCTTTGTCACCGTGCTTCTCCTTCTGTCCTTTGACTTCTGGTCTGTGAAGGTAAAGCTCCCTCTCCAGGGACACGTGGGCTTTGCTCCCAGATGGTGCTGTGGGACCCAGGGACGCTTTGGTTTATGTTGTTGCTACATATTAAAGAACACTGAGAGGGGGATGGAAAGGGTTCTTGCTGGCGAGTTCGGACCCCAGTACCATCCTTGGAATCCACATGGTGCAAGGAGGGAAATGATCACAACGAGTCGTCCTTTGCTGTGGCACACGAGTGGCCTCCTTCTCCACACAAAATTAATGTTTAAAACATTTTTAAGGGTTACTGGGCTCATGTCACTTATAATTAGAGAGCAAAAATGTTTCAGGAAATGACTTCCAGGACCAGTTGTCAAAGGTGACAACTGGGGGTGACAACCCCATATGGCTTTGGGTTTTGTAAAATTTTCATGATATATGCACATATACATAAACATATAATATGAACATCTGCTTTATTTTGGGGCGGAGTCTTTTTTTTTTTTTGAGACAGCATCTCATTACGTAACCCTGGCTAACTCTAACTCACAGAGATCTGCCTATCTCTGCCTCCTGAGAGCTGGGGTTCAGGGCATGCACTGCCCACCATACCTGGCCAGAATCCCACTTTTCAAAGTGAGTAGTGCCGATATAGTGGCAAATATCTTTAATACCAGCACTTGGGGTAGAAGGGTAGGAGGTCGGTGGCAGTTGAGTTTGAGGCCAACCTGGTTTACTGAGTTCTGGGCCAACCAATTGAGACCCTGTCTCAAAGAAAAAAAAGTAACCTTAACGATGGAAAGCCCACTCAGGGAACAATTACAGTTCAACATCCTCCCCCAACCTCACCTTTTTTGTGAGCATGTGCACATGTGCTACAATGTACATGTGGTCAGAGGACAACTTCCTTCCACCTTCCACCACATGGGTCCTAGGGAATTGAACTTGGGTCATCAGACTTGACAAAAGCATCTTCACCCACTGTCATCTGACCAGTCCCACACCCTTCTCTCCGTGCCTTCTGCAGTGTACAACCAGCATTACTCATGTGCATTGGCGCACACTAATACTCACCACTCAGGAGGTGACGCAGGAGGTTTGAGAGGTCAAGGCTAGCCTGGGCTACATAGGAAGACCGCTAGAGAAACAATTAGCCATCTTGTTCCTTTTGTGCTCACAGCCCTTTTGCCCCCTTTCCTCAGAATGTAACTGGAAGACTCATGGTGGGTCTTCGATGGTGGAACCAGATAGATGAGGATGGAAAAAGCCACTGGATATTTGAAGCCAGAAAGGTATGCCAGACAAGACAGACTCATGAGAACCAGAGAAAGACTGTGTGAAGTTTACACAGGTTCCCTGAGTTCTGTGTGTCAGCCCAGACACTGCCCTGCACAAATCCTCTGTGTAGTACTGTACAGTACATAGTAAACAAGCAAAAACAAGAGTCGCTGCTTGAAGAAGTCCAACGGCTGTCTCCCACAGGTCTCTCCAAACCACGGTGCGGCCACTGAGGCAGAGGCACGCATCTTCTGGCTTGGCCTCATCATCTGCCCGGTGATCTGGACCCTCTTCTTCTTCAGCACCCTGTTCTCCTTAAAGCTCAAGTGGCTGGTAAGACGCACCCTGCTCCCCCTGCTGCTGTGACAGACCAGGGGCTAGAAATGGTCTGACTCAATGGTGACTCTAACAGCTTGATGGAGATGGCAGGGTACATTCACCATTTGAAGGGTATATTCTGGGCTTTTGCCATTTTGGAGGGGTTATATAACCATCACAACCAATCTGAGGATTTCCTAAAGAGCTTTTATTATAAGTGTGTGCATGCCTGTGTGTGTGTGTGTGTGTGTGTGTGTGTGTGTGTGTGTGTGTCTGCATGTGGTATGGGCAGCAAGTTCAGGTGCCCTCAGAGGCCCAAAGAGGGCATGAGTTCCCTTGGAGCTACAGCTAAAAGCTGTTGTAAGCTGCTGACACGAGTGTTGGGCACCAAACCCCGGTCGTCTGTGAGAACAGCAAGTTCTCTTAGCTGTGGAGCCAGCTCTGCAGCCTATTTTAGAATTATTTTCATCACCCCTACCCAAACAAAAGCTATACTTTGTACATATTGCCCTCTATGCCATTTTCCTGTCCCCTGGTACCCCCTTTCCTAGATAGACTTGCCTGCATACAATTTTGTTCTTTTTGAAAGTGGCTTCTTTCACTTAGCTCATGTTCAGGTCCAACCGGACTATAGTGTATATCAGTACATGGTTTCTTTGCATGGTTAAATAATATTCCATGGTATGAGTATACCATATTCTGTTTCATTTATTAGCAGATAGGGAATAATGTGGATACTAACTTATTTTTTGCTTCTGGGGATACTGGGGAGGGAACCTGGGGCCGTGTGCAGGCTTGGCAAGTTCTCCAATGAGCTACATCTCAGCCCACAGGAAGGAGTTTTAATTAAAAACTATGGTATCTCTTAAGAGACCACCTTGCTCGGGTGGGAAGGCTAACAGTGCTCAGGTTTTATTTGGGAGGGCTGTCCATTCACTGGGGACACAGAACACAGGACACAGTATAAGCAACACTGTGACAGTAAATGGGCCCCACAGTTTGGCTTCTGCCTCCACCATACCAGCTCCAGGGCTTTGTGGGGCTTTCTGTCTCTCAGCCTGTTTCCTCTGTGTGAAGCACAGTGGTCCCAGCCTCTGGGTTGCCTAGGTGTCCACAAGTGTTTGCTTGGGACAGTCTGCAAAGTCCCACTCAGTGCACACCCTCAGCTGGCTTCCCTCTTTTCTGCCCCACGCAGGCTCTTGTGATCACAGGAATTTCCCTCCAAGCCGCCAATCTCTACGGATACATCCTTTGTAAGATGGGGGGTGAGGGCGACATCAGCACAGTTGCAGCCAGCTTTCTGTCCCAGACGGTGTTCCAGACGGTGAGTGACCAAGTTCCTCCCTGGATCTTTCCTCCGAGGTGCTCAGATTGAAGGGCACCTGTTAGCAACTTCAACTCCTAACCACTGTTTTCTACTGTGTGTATGTAAAATCTACCATATTAACTATTTCCAATGTATAGTCCTAGATTAGCATGGCACACACCTTTAATTTTTGTATTCTGGAGGCAGAGGCAAGTGAATCCCTGTAAGTTTGAGGCCAGCCTGGTCTACATGAATTCCAGCCCAACCAGGGTTATATACTGAGATCCTATCCCAATAAATAAATAAAAAACACAGTATGTCAATTAGTAGGGACAGCACTGTGCAAATGCCAGTCTAGCTACAGAACCTTGTCATCTCCAACAGGCGCCCTGTCCTTTAGACACTAGCTCCTCATTGTCCCTAGCTGCTGGCACCAACCATCCTGTCTGTAAAGGATTGACAGCTCCTATCAGCAGCCAGGGTTAGATATTTTTTGACTACTATTTAGTTTTAAGTGATACTTAAAACTATACAATTGGGGGCTGGAGAGATGGCTTAGCAGTTCAGAACACAATGCTTTTGCAGAGGTCCCAGCTTCCGTTCCCAATACCCACATGGTGGCTCAGCCATCTCTAGCTCCAATTCAAGGGGCTCTAACACCCTCTTCTGATTTCCACAGGCACCAAGCACATACATTAACACATGCATACATTCACTCAGACAAAACACGCACATCTCCCTACAGAAGCCTAGGGAGATGGCTCAGTGGATGTGTAACCCTGACAACCAAAATTCAATCCCAAGAAGCCACAGCAGTCAGATGCGGTGGCATATGTCTATAATTGTGGGATTCTGGGGAAAGATTAAATGTAGACATAGAAGTTCATGGGCAACTAGCCTAGAGCACACAGTGCAGACAGGCAAGAGACCCTGCCTCAAAACAAGACAAAAAGAGAAAACTAACTCTGCAAAAGTTGTCCTCTGACCCTCACAGGTACATCATGGAACGCTCATGCTTGCACACACACACACACACACACACACACACACACACACAACGAACAAACAAAAAATACCCCACAGAATTAAGGAAAGAATAACAAAGTCTTCTGTTTTGAAGTCAGGAAATATTTTTTAAAATATTTTATTTATTATTTTATGTGCATTGGTATTTCACCTGCATGCATGTCTGTGTTGAGGGTGTCAGACAGCTGTGAGCTATCAAGTGAGTCCTGGGAATTGAACCCAGGTTCTCGGGAAGAGCAGTTGGTGCTCCTAACTGCTGAGCCACTCTGCAGTCCTGGAGTATTTCCTGAAGGGAGGGATGGAGGAGTTTTGGTCTGACAGCTTCACTGTGCGAAAACTTGTGGCAATGGGTCTCTCGAAGTGAGTTGCTCTTTACTGGGACAGTCATGGTTCTGCTTGCCTTGCAGGCTTCCCCAGGTGACTTTGAGAAGCCCAGGCTGGAGGGGCGGGACATCCACCAGCGTTAGGTGAGTGATGGATGCAGGTCAGAGGCCTGGGCACTCATGGGACACGTAGATCCTGAGCAGTTGTTCCCCAGGTCTAGGACTCTCCCCAGTCCTCCAAGCTGACCTGGAGCAAGTCCGAGCTGGAGGCCCAAAGTATAGAGCCTGCCCTTTGACCTTACTAAAGGTCCCATCTTCCCACGGAAACCCCAGCACATTCTAAGAGTACGTGTGTAAAGGGGAAGGAGAAGACAGGAAGGACAGGGGAGGGGCTGCCCACCTTCCACTGTCACAGCCCAGTGGTGCGGAGATCTGGAATGACTTCCCTAAGCAGCTCTCAGTTCCTGTGTCTTAGTCTCAGGTCACGAGGACAGTCACACCAGTCTCTCAAAAGCACCAGGAAATCGTTTGTCTGGGATCCCAGGGATTACTGATGCCCTGAGGGTGCCCATCACCCTGTGGGTGACTTAAGGGCTTTCCAGAGTTTTTTTTTTTTATGTACCCTAGCCAAAGCATGATCCCAGAGCTGGAGATCCCAGTGTGGGCCGAGGCTGCTGTTACTTCCGTTCACCTGAGGGAGCCACGTGTCTGCAAAGAAGCCATAATCCTTCCTGGGTTTATAATCTGAGGCAGAAACAGCTCCTGGGAATCCTGTGCCCCAGAAGCTTGCCAGTCCTTTGGATTCCAGAAAACAGGCCCTAGGGGCAGGTTCACGGAGACAGTTTTATTTTATGATGAATGGCACCTGTATGCAGAGTACCTGTACCTTTGATCTGAAGGAAGTGGGAAAATAGGAGATTAAAGTATCTTAAGGAAGTGACTCCAAATCCTGTCAGCATCTGGTGGCCATGGCTCCACCTGTCCCGCTCTGACTGATGTGACCGATGGGGCTGGACCTGTGCCTGCAGGTTCTGCAGCTAGGAGCAGGTGGCACTTGGCTCTGTCCCCTTCAGGGATGGATGAGAACTACAGAACTCTTGGATCCCTAGAAAACAAGTAAGGGGTGAGCTCTCTCCTGTCACCTCGGCAGGGCCCTGGCCTGCAGCTGCCATAGCTTGCTCTGGCTTACTACAGTTAGGATTTCAGTCAGTTTTACTGGACTTGATGGCTTAGATTTCCCATGAAATTCACCATCCCTGCTTCTCAAACTAAGAATTAGCTCCCAACATGGACCCATGGGAAGAAGTCTCCTGAGGAGCCATTCTGGTTGCCAACACCCCAGCTGTCACAGTAACCTTCTATTTCTGCCCACTTCACTCCTCTAGGTGACTTCCTGCCAGGAGATGTCCCAAACACTTACTGTGAATAATACTTCTGTAGGCTGCTGTGGCTGGTGAATCCGGGGCTTCAACAAAGAAAGACTGGCCTTTGTCACAGCTCTTACCTTAAAGAGACAGAGAAAATGAGACCCTTGTGAAAGCCTCAGTCTTTGTGCCTGCTGTGGCATGGCTGCCTGGGGCTCCCCACTCAAGGAAAGCAAAGCTGGGGAACACAACAGAGGCCTTAGCTGTGTCCCCATCCCCAGCAATCCTCACTTCTACTTTGCTGTTGCCGCAAGTCAGTTGGGTAGCATGTGGCAAATGCAGATTCCAGACCCAAAGAACCGTCTCTGCTGCTCTGGATGGGCCGAGTCTGCATTAGAGACCCACTAACCAGCAGCCCAGGAAAAAGAGAATACAGTGAAAGGAATCAGTTAGGGCTTTCAACAGAGACAATGAGCATGTGTGGCAAAACCTCAAGGACTAAGGAAGGAAATGCAGGCAGAGTGAATGGAGCATCTCTCCAGAAACACACACGCCAATGTGAAACACACACAGCCTCTCCTGCTTAGAGGAACAGGCCCTACAGTGCACACACTCTGCCCACAGCTTTCTGCCCGTATCATTTCATCTTTATGGTCACCCACACTGGGGTGAATCAGTCAGCTAGCGCTACACACACACACACACTCACACGCAATCATCCTGAGAACCATCAGTCAGCTAGCCCTACACACACACACACACACACACACACACACACACACACACACACACACACACACAATCATCCTGAGAACCATATGTAACCCAGGGGAGATACAGCTCTTTGGTTGTGAAACTCCCTCATGTCCAGGTCCCTATGCTGCTACCTGCTGCTACACCAAGCCCTGCTCAAACATCCAGTCCTGTCTCTCCCACACCTGGGTGCACATACACCCCACCTGCAGCTGAGCCCAGTGTGGTCAGAGTCTTCCCTCTTAGACCCAGGCCGGGCACAGCTCCACCCACAGGCACTTACACTCACACAAGCTCCACTATTATCTTGGATACCACAATCTGTGGGGATGTTGAGCCCCTGTCTGTCTCCTCTTCCTTATACAAGCAGATATCCTGGGCGAGCCTGGGATGTAGATGGATGGACACCCCTTCCTCAGTTCTGAAGGCACTCAGAGTGCAAATGTCAGGATCCTACAATACCCAGCATGATCCCCAACAGCACGTCAGTGTGCACTGCAGGGGCACGGAATGGGCTGTTTCAGTGTCTGCTAGTGACCAAGGGGCCCTGCATCCTTGGAGATGGACCTGAGGTACCTGCCCAGGCCTTCCTGCTTCTCTCCCGTGGCTGCAACCTCTGAGGAACTCTGTGGGTCCAGCGCTGGCCCAGCACTGCTGAGCAAGCAGCACAGGCCATTCAGACTCACCTATGAGTGGGTCCAGCGGCACTCTGCCCAGAAGAGGGATCTTCAGGTCCTGGCACATGGCCTCTGCACCCCCGGTTGTGGGAGGGAAGATCTGAGACTCTTTCTGTGACACATAAAGAGGAGGAAGTTTTATTTTGCTTCTGTATTATAGGACACACTGGTTTTCAGATATTTTAAAACTTATTTTGGATGTCAAACTCCAAAGCATCTTCACTCAGGCAGAAGAGGGCTTGATGAACCCCTTCCTTCCTGACACAGCAGGGAAAGCAGAAACCTGGAGAACCATCCCCACTGTTTCCCCACTAGATCAAGGGTGTGCAGTGGGCCCCCCTCCCCCGGATCCCTCACCTTGCACTTAGGGCAGATGAAACCGCTCATGTTCTCCACCACACCGATAATGGGCAGCTTCACCTTGTGGCAGAAGCTGATCTCTTTCCGGACATCCTGGAGGGCCACCTCCTGGCAAAGTTCACAGAGCAGTTAACCCACTGCCACAGGGCACTAAGGGATGGCCGAGACACCCCGGTTACACCACCAGAGTGCTAGGGAGCATGACCATGGCTTGGCACTCGCTCACCTGAGGGGTGGTGAGGATCACCGCCCCATCAATGTGTGCCGCAGCCAGATACTGGACGACTGAGAGGTGTTCATCGGATGTGCCGGGTGGGGTGTCTATGATGAGGTAGTCAACATCTCCCCAGTCTACATCACGAAGGAACTGCTTGATCATGCCTGGAAGGGGGCGAGGCTGAGTGTGTAACCTCCTTCTGGCACACACTTCCAGTCTGCATGAGCATTCCTACACTCCATAGTGAGGGCCCTCAACAAGTGCTTCCATTGTCCCCAGGGGCCAGGTGAGATCTGCAGACAGGTTGGGTGGCCATGGTGAGGTCAGGGCGCTATTATCATTATATTATATATGGCACATACATGTTGCCCCAATAGACTCATGTGGCCAAAGTGTCCAGAATGAGTTTACCCCAGCCATGCTTTCTGCATGACCTTGTTCCCCCCACACTGACTCAGCAAGGGGGTTTCACTTCACACTTCCCTCCTTGACACAAACCAGCCATGTGAGAGCACACTACAAGTGATTCCCGGGTCCTGCAAGTCTCAAGAGCAGAAGAGCTCACAGCAGGTACTAAAGTGTCTACACTGAAAACTGGCATGTCTCATACCACATCAGAGCACTCATATGCAGGAGGTCCTGGGATCCATCCCCAGTACCAACGTAATAGCATTAAACACCACAGAGCCCATGCATGCAGTCTCCCTGACAGAAAGGATGCAAGCAGAACCAAGAATTTGAGCCAGAGGAACAGAGTGACAAACCATTTTTCTTTGGTCCCCTCCAGATGACAGCATCATCAGGACTGCTGAGCAGGAAACCCACAGACATCACCCCCAGATTGTCCTCCACATACTGCAGAGAGAATGGGGATAATGGGGAGAAACATGTCTGCTTGTGGGAACAGGGGCACAACATATCTACTTCCCAGGGAATTTGGTTAAAAAAAATTCAGGATAAAGGCATCATGTGCCTCACACCTACGCTTGCTCTTTGTAGCTTTAAGGTGGCCATGGTGAGATCTACAAGAGGTTATGTGTGGCGTGTGCCTCAATGACAGGTCAATGAAGCTAAAACAAACACCATCTCCTCAGGTGTCCTAACTGAGGACCCCCAAATCCGGTCTTGGAGGAGAGGTTTGACTGGGACACACTGTGGTCATTCAGATGCACAATGCCACTTCGGAGCCAGAGAGCACAGGTCCATCGGCCCCATTACAGACAAGGCCTGCAGTCTCTGATCTTACCTGCATGCTTGGAAAACAGCCTCAGTAAACGTTCAAGTTGAGCAATGTTTTTGCCACCTCTAATAGTACATCAGATATACCTGACTCACACACCCTGCCTCCCCAGCAAGGCTAACTTACCACTGGAGACCAGCCAGAGCCACTCTGGTGAACCTGTGGGAACACGACAGTCATTCTTGTCACTGTGCACTCTGGTCACGTAGTCACTGATAAAGTGTCCAAAGAGAATGGTTCCATATAGATTCACCACCCTGTACTGCACCACCCAATAAAAAAGGTTTTAAAATTACATTTATTTTCGCACGCGCGCACGTGTGTGTGTGTGTGTGTGTGTGTGTGTGTGTGTGTGTGTGTGTGTGTGTGCACATTTCATGACTGCGCACACAGAGGTCAGAGGACTGACACTTCAGGACTCTCCTTCCACTATGTGGGTCCCAGGAATAGGATTCAGGTCATCAGGTCTGGTAAGAAGCACTTTTACCTGCTAGTCACTCAGTTCTTCATGGAGAGTTGAGAAATGAAGACCTTAATTGATACACACCCTCTATCCCTGTCTGTTCTTACCAGGGAACCAGAATTATTCAAGTCAGGCACAATTCTTTAAAAAGAATGAGAGGAGTTGGCCAGCTGCCACTTCTGTGGGTACATGTGAGGCAGCCAGGTGGCAATGCACAGGAGCAGAAGGGACTCTACTACCTGTGACCTTTAGTGCCACAGTTGATTCAAGGCTACCCTGAGGGGCTGCAGCTGTGGCTCCACAGTTAAAACCACTGGCTATGCTTCCAAAGCACCTGAATGGTGGTGGCTTACACCTGTCTCTAATTCCAGTTCCTGGCAATCTGACACCCTCCTTTGTATTCTTTGGACAGTGTGAGCACATGGAGTAGAGATATACATGCAGGCAAAACACTTACACACATAAAATGAAATACAATTTTAAAAGCTGCCCTTAGGCCAGGCATAGTGGTGCACACCTTTAAGCCCCGCACTTAGGAGGCAGTGGCAAGTGGATCTCTGTAAGCTCCAGGCCAGCCAGGGCTACCCAGTGAGAGCCTGTCTAAAAAAGAAAAAACAGAAAAACAAACAAAAATAACCTGCCCTAATCAGTAATCTGAGCCCTGACTCCAGAATACTATCCACAGGAGGCAAGGGCCCAAAGTCACCAGCAAGTCCCATGGGGCTACTTCTGGACCTGGACCCCCAGGGCGGGGCTCTGTTCTTTTATTACTAAACTAGAACTTAAGCAACTTCCACCTACACATCAGACTGTGCCTCTCCTCTTTCAGTTTTCCAGACAGGATCCTGACACCCCCTGGCCTGCTGAACCAAGTGATCCTCCTGGCTCACCCTCCCAAGTCACTGGGACCAGAGCTCATAGCACCGTGCCTGGCTAGCTTCTACTTCATAAAGCATGCTTGCACTGTAAGCAGCTTATACCCAGGCTGGGGTGTGTCTGGTGCGAGGGCTCTGACTGGGGGAGAATCCTGCTATTTTACTTCAACATGGGTGATGCTGCACACACTCACCCAAGGCTATGGCAGTGTAACCAAGACTAGCTTGGGTGACTTTCCTGTTTATGGAGGCTGAAGGCTTTTGTTCTTGCCCCTCAGCTAAAATGTCCCTTTAGCTTTCCGTACTGGGAAGCCTGTTCCTTCACTCTCTGCTGAAGCCAGCCCCTTTCCTGCTTTAGCCTCTTGTCCTCTGCCCTCCCCACAAGGGTTTTCTGCCTTGCTTGACACTGTATGCCTAGACTTGAGAACCTGGAGTTAAGGAAACAGCATTACCTGCAGCCTCTGAGCCCTGGTCCTGCTTCTGGGGTCCTTCCTGAATGATGGCACTAACAGACATCCCCTACTGCCATGTCACTCCTAGTCCCAGAGTCAGGGTCTCAGTTCCCTAGAGGGGACCATGGCACTGAGAGATTTCCTAACTTCCAGTGCAGACCCAAGCAAACCCTAGTCCTGAGTTACCACTTAGAGCTGAATTTCCACTGCTCACTTCTGCATCCTGCTCGCTGTTTCCCTCCCCCCCCATGAAAGGCTCCAAACCAATGCTCCTCAAATATGTAGATGCACTTCATGTCCAATCCCAAACCCCCAAATCCACAGCTGTGGAGGAAGGACAGAGAAGCTACTACTGTATATGCATGCCTAAAGAGAGCCAGTCAAGTTCTCTGACACTCATCACCTGCTCTCCTTCCAAGCCCATGATCTTGGGGATCGATGGCCCACAGATATCAATGTCCAGAAGGGCGACCTGGGAATGAGAAGAGACAGTATCACTGACTGCTAGAACCTTCAGATATGCACATGGATCGGGACAGGACACAGTCACGGACGACACATCAAAACAGATGACTGAGCTTCAACGTTCTCACTGGAAAGGTGTAACATGGACCTTCCAGGCCACTGATACAGTATAACTCCTAGGGCAAGTCGCCCATCCAGTCCCCCATGTGGAACAGGGTGACCTTACAGCAGGTCATCAAGCCACTCAGGATTTAGTTCACTCAGGCTAGGAGTGTGATCTCTGCATCACAGCAGATGACACTGAGATTCAGGACTTGGTCAATGAGTCAGGAACAGAGAGGGGACAAAGTCAATGTTTCTAATGCCAGGGTTCTTCCCATGATACTATCAAGCCACAGAAGAGGCCTGAGGAGAAATTCTGGCTGGCCTCTAGGCAAGCCCCATTTTCCTGTGACCAAGCTGACAGCAAGCTTTCAAAAGAGCCTTAAAATAAGGAGATACTGGAGAGATGGCTCAGCTACTGAAAGACCATTATGTTCTCCAGCAGAGCCTGGCTCCTAGCACCCAAATGGAGTGGCTCAAGACCATCTGTAACTCCAGTTCCAGGGGATCTGGTGTCCCCTTCTGACCTCCACAGGTACTGCACTCATACACATAACCCCAAACATGTCGTTTTAGTTTTAGTTTATGTGTGTGGGTGTCTTACCCATGTGTATGTCTGTGTGCCACATGCTTGGTCCACGTAGGCCATAAGAGGTTATCAGATCTCCTGAAACTGGACTTACAGATGATTGTAAGTTGCCATACGGGTGCTGAGAATTGAACCCAGGTCCTCAAAAAGGGCAGTCAGTTCCCAATACCCACATTGGGCAGCTCAAACACTCCAGCTCCAGGGCTACCTTTTCTGGCCTCTCTAGGCACCTACACACGCATGGCACTCACAGAGATACATACACACAAACAAGAATAATCTTTAAAAATATGAAAGGGATCTGGGAAGTTCTTGTTGGGGACTTAGGTACAGTCTCTTCTGTCCCCACCCTTCCGCCAATCGGGCCATGGCACATTTGCTGGTCTTGTGAAGGGCAGCCATTCATCTTGAGAACTGGTGGTCTGGAAACCAGAGGGCAGCACCTCTGGGGAACTTTGGAACTTGCCCCACGCTCTCTTCTGTCTTCCTTCTCCAATCCTACTTCCTCTACATGCTGGCTGATGATGAAGGGGACACAGAACACACAGGGATCACGAAGATCCCTGTTTGCCTCCTGCGCCCTCTTCTGGCCTGGCCCAAAAGTGCAGCAAAGGGACTGAAATGTCTTGACAAGTGCGTAGGGAGACACACTTGTATGAAGGGCAGGCATGTGAACACAGCTCCCCATGCCTGGCTGGGCAGAGACTGCTGTTACACAGCTGTCTGAGAATATTCCCAACAGCTCCAGAGCCAAGCTGAAGCTTATCCTGGCCAAACGTCAATTTCTGTTGTAGTTGTTAGGAGACAGACATAGATATAGATACATAGATGTAGATATAGAGATATATAGATATATAGAGATAGAGACATTTGGTGGGAGGCAGACAAATGCTCCACCATTGTGCTCCAGCCCCAATACCTTTTGGAAAATGAAGACCATGTGATCAAAAAGACTGCACTGTAGCAGGCAATGCAAATTCGACCTCTGGTGGTAAGAGGCTGTCCCTTTACAGAACATTTAACTGGCTCTGGACTGTGGGTTGGGTAGGTCGCTCTAATAGCAATGAACATTTAATCCACCTGGACTGGGGTTGGGTAGGTCGCTCTAACAGCAATGAACATTTAACTGGCTCTGGACTGTGGGTTGGGTAGGTCGCTCTAATAGCAATGAACATTTAACCCACCTGGACTGGGGTTGGGTAGGTCGCTCTAACAGCAATGAACATTTAACTGGCTCTGGACTGTGGGTTGGGTAGGTCACTCTAACAGCAATGAACATTTAACCTACCAGGACTGGGGTTGGGTAGGTCGCTCTAACATCGATGAGCATTTAACCCACCTGGACTGGGGTTGGGCAGGTCACTCTAACAGCAATGAACATTTAACCCACCTGGACTATGGGTTGGGTAAGTCGCTCTAACAGCAATCATCCTCTGAATTTCAGTTAGCAAAGTGCCGCGGTGATGAGGATGGCCATGGGGACATTTCCAGAACACTGTGTGGGAGGAGCAGCACTTGCATTTTAACCACACCCTCTCACCCAGGCCTCTGAGCCCCAACTCACAGATGAGAGATGGAGGCAGAGAAAGCCTGGCAACTAGCTTGGGCAACAGCAGTGATGGGTGCAGAGCTGGGATACAAAGCTGGGCTGCCTTGCACTGGCACCATCCTTTATTAAAGCCACGCCCCCGCAGAATACTAGGGATTTGAGTCAGTTGGTCTGTTTTGAGACAGGGTCTCACTCTGTAGCCATGCCTGGCTTGAATTCCAAATCTTCCTGTCCCAGGCTCCAAAATGCTGGGATTTGCAAGCATGTGTCACATGGTCTGTCTACACCTTGAGATGAAGGACCTAGCCCAGGGTCATTTCTAGAAGGGGCAGACAGAAAATGCTTTCTGCTTTAATGGGCAAAAACAAGAATATATAGGTACTTGTGTGACTTGAGACGTGACCATTTAAATATCTAAATACCATTCTCAGCTCACAAGAGATGGACCAAACTACAATTCAGGATCTGGATTTGAAGAAAACAGAAGGATCTTTATAAGGGGCAGGAATAAAAGGTGTAACATAACAACCAGAATGCCAAGAGGCATGTTCCTAGCTGCCCTCTGAGCTAGAGAACCCAGTGAAACACTTCAGCAGTGGCCAGGCAGCATCTCAATCTCTCTGCAAGGTCAACACAGTCAGAGAGGTTGGTTCCCTGGAGACTAAGAATCATTCCTTAAAGTCACCAGGGGCCTTTGACACATGAGCCCCCGCCCCCAGCATAGCCCAGGGTCCCACCTGTGTGTCTCCATCCTCTGCCAGGCCGTGAGCGAGGTGGGCACTGAACGTGCTTTTCCCAACGCCACCTTTTCCAGACAGCACCAAGATTCTGTGTTTCACTGTCTTCATTTTCTCTTTGATTTCCTCCACGGCTGCAAAGAAGCATTGAAGTGATGACATCCCTGCCTTGGTTCTGAGTGTGCTTCTTCCCAAGTGCTGTTTCTAAGGCTCCTTGAGAGATATCACTTCAGCAAAATAATATAAATGCTAGGAAGAAAATATGGCTACTATAATCCCTGAGATTGTCAGATTTACACATTGCTTCATCTACTAGAACATGGGTTTCCAGGAGGGTAGGGTGTTCAAACTCCCATCTCCTGAACAGAACCTTGCAGATAGTAAAGTTTTACAACCCAGGGACATCTGTCAACATCTGCAGACATTCTTCAGCTGTCACAGGAGGGGACTACTAGTGTCATGGAGGACGATGCCTAAGTGTCTTAAGCACAGGCCAGCCCCAGTAACAAGGAATGATCAGCTTCAAACATCACTAGTGCTAAGGATGAGGAATCCTGACAGACAGGCTCACAATTAAGTATCCATCCCAATAACTCACTGTGTTTCCAACGCCTCATCTTTCTCGGATCCTTAAAGACTACATGGTGGGGTAACTACTCTTCACATTGAAGACAATCAGAAATGATGCTCAGGTAACCCAACAATCAGCCCCAGAGCCTTCTCCCAGCTTCCTGTTTTCCAAGTCCTCTCAGCCGGGAACCGGTGCAGCCCAGCACTTACCCCTGAAGGGTTTTATATGTCTGCTCCTGCTTCTCTCCCCCACCTTGGTCTCTCCACTGAGATAATGACCACTCGTTTCTGCTGAGTGCTGGACTCACTCCTTAAAAGAAATGGTTCTCCCTGCCAGAGCCTCAGTGATCTGAGACAGGCATGTGGCGGCACTCAGGCCTGGAGAGACCTCAACACTTACCCACTATCCCCTCTGCTCGGCCTCATGTGTACTGAGGTCAGTGGTTGTCGCTCAAGCCCTTGCCCTGTCCTGTATCACTTTTTCCTATTCTAACCCTCCTTAAAGTCCTATTTAGTTAATGAATTTTTTGTTTGTGTTTCTGTGTTTGTGAGACAGAATCTCACCTAAGCCCAGGCTGGCCTCTAACTATATAAACAAGGATTACTCTAAGCTCCTGATCCTTTTCTAAAAGTGAAAACTTTTGTTTGTTTGTTTGTTTTGGTTTTTTCGAGACAGGGTTTCTCTGTATTGTTTTGGAGGCTGTCCTGGAACTCGCTCTGTAGACCAGGCTGGCCTCGAACTCACAGAGATCCGCCTGCTTCTGCCTCCTGAGTGCTGGGATTAAAGGCGTGCATCATCAGCGCCCGGCTGAAAACGTCTTTAAGTCCTAAGATTACAAGCATGTGCCAACACACTGGGCCTAATGTTCATTCATTTATCCAGGGTCTCATCGCGTAGCCCAGGCCGGCTATCCCCAGAGTGCCAGGGGAGCAGGCCTGAGCCACCAAGCTGACTTTAATGCCATTTTGGTTCCCTGACTGCCACAGGTCAGACTCAGCCTCCATTTCCACCACTTCCCTCCGCTATTTGACCTTTAAAGCCGCCCCCTCGCTCCTCAAACTCCGCCTACTACGCCAAGCCCCTCAACCACAGGCAATGCCGCCTACTAGCCGCTGTCATTCATCCTTCAGGTCCCGCCCCTTCCACTTCCTGGTCTGCCCACCGCTTCCTTACCCGGGTCTGGTGCGGCGCCGGCGCCCGACGCGCACAGCCTCTGGTTGGGGCATCCCTGGCACGAGGCTCCTCGGCCCGCCTGGGCGCTGTCGATCCCGGGGCAGCCTGCGCGGAGACAAGGGCACAGTCAGAGCAGCTCGGTCCCGACCCGCCACCCACGCGTCCTTCGCTAACTCACCGTGGGGCGCCTCCTCCATGCTGCCACCCTTGCCGGGGCTGCGCTCGCCGGAACTCCAAGGGCGTGTTTCCGCCTCGCAGGTCCAATCTGACCCTCCGGCCGCCCGAACTGTCTTGCCAGATTAGGACTGCGCACGCGTGAAACCCTGTGCGCAGTGGGTGGGGCTCGGATTTCGGTTCCCTCCAAAACGGAGCTGAGACGGTCGTAGAAAGTTTGGCGTCTGAGCAGGTGTCTCTAGGAGTGAAGGCAGTTGCTGAGCAAGCCTGACGGCCTGCGTTCTGCTCCCAGAACTCACGTGGTGTAAAGAGGGTGGACTCTTGAAAGCGGTCCTCTGACACATACACACATGCATAGTAATAAGATTTTTTTTTAACCAACGACTTGAGTCGTCAAAGAATGTTATTCCCCATGACCTCAGTGTTGATGCATAATTCTACTACTAAAAGTGCAATCTGTAAATCTTAAAAAGAAAAAGTGTGTGTGTGTGTGTAGAGATGGCTCAGAGCTTCAGAGCATTGGCTGCTCTTCTAGACGTCCTGAGTTCAATTCCTAGCAACTACATGGTGGCTCACAACCATCTATAATGAGATCTGGTGCCCTCTTCTGGCATGCAAGGAGAATACTGTATGGATAATAAATCTTTAAAAAACAAAAAAGTACAATCTGTGTCAATATTTACTCGGTTTCAAATAATCTGCCCTTCCCTAGATTCCATTACAGACTGGGACCGAGGCTCAATTGGTAGAGTGTTTACACTATCGTCTCCAGCACTGCAAAAATAAAACAGCAAGACACTTACTCGTCCTTCCCCTCCCTCTCTTTCTCTCTGTTGTAGCCCAGGCTGACCTTGAATTAATGCTTTTCTTGCCATGCTTGACCAAGAGGTGAGGCCTTAGAAAGGGGTGTAGCTCAGTAGTGGAGCGCCTGTCTAGCACCTAAGAAGTCATAAATTCAATCCCCAGTAGGGCAAGATCTCATCGATCCTCCTGCCTACATCTTCCAGCTGCTGGGATTACAGATGTGCACCACCACTCCTGGGCTTAAAAATAAAAAATAAAAAGACACTCTTAAAACCTCTATGCTATTAGCAATAATTTGTTCTGTGTTTTGTTACTTTCCCTTCAAATTTGTTCAGTGAAACCTTTTCATATCCGCTTCTGTGTCCTCTGGATGCTAGCTCCAGTTTCTGAGAGCTTTTCCTGCTTTCTCTCATGTACCCAGGCTCCCACTGTCCTTGCTACAACCATCTCTTCTGGGAGCCTGACGGCCTCAGTGGAGCAGTGTTGTAGACACCATGTGTGCATGCTCACAGCCTTTGAGCACTACTACATGCAACTTGGCGGCAGCTGTTGTTTTAATTGAAGGATTCTAAACATGTTTTCATGTATCTTTGAGGTCATAATTACATCATTTCTCCCTTCCAAACCTTCCTTTACCTCTCCTTGTTGATTATTGAATTTATGGCATCTTTTTCATTGTTATTACATTCTTTGTGGTGGTTTGAAAGGAAATTGTTCCCAAAGAGAGTGATGATATTAGGAGAAGTGGGTTTTTGGAGAGAGTATGTCACAGTTGGGGGTAGGTTTTGACTTTCAGTCGGCTTCCTGGTTGCCTGCAAGATGTGAGACTCTCAGCTTCAACCCCATGTCTGCCTGCACAATGCTATGCTCCCCACCATGATGAAATGGACTGAACCTATGAAACTGTAAGCAATCCCAATTAAATGTTTTCCTTATAAGAGTTGCCATGCTCATGGTATCTCTTCATAGCAATATAAACCCTAACTAAGACAGCCTGTATAATGCTACTTGTATGTATGTTTTCAAGGATGACCATTTGTTATTGGACAACCCATTAGTGTGCTCTTCCCTGAGGAAGAGTTCTCCCACTTTCACCATTCCTGTAGAATGCTAAAGTTCTCTGTAGAGTTGAGGACTTGTGGGTGTTACCCTGTCCACTTTGGCATGTCTATAGGTATAATCTGTGTTCAGGCAGTCATGTTGTTGAAGAGTTTATGAGTGTAGCTTCTGACATTATAGGAGGTACTGTACAGTAACAGTCCTGAAAGGGATTTGTGGCAAAAGATTATCCTGGTGGTCAGGGCCAAGGAATGCCACAAAAATCACACCAAGCAACAGACTTCATGCAAGAGATTTATTGGAAGGGAAGCACAAAAGGCCAGAGAGAAGACGGAAAGTAATGGGGAGGAGAGGGAAGAGAGAGAGAGGACGAGAGGGCAGGCTGTGATGAGGGCTTCACTGGGGATATGGAGCATGAACACCGGGAAAATCTTCAACAGTGATGGTGGAAACATTGAGTTGGCCGTTAGTGATGACAACAATTGAGACTGCTAAAATACCCTTGTACTGGAAAACGCTTTCAGACTCAATCTCACAGCAAACTCCCTGATCCTCTGGTCTTAGCAATATTTCCGCCACCTCTTCAGCGATATTCACTGAACCTTAGGTTTACAGGTGTTTTGTAGATGCATCCATTGGGACCAGGCTCCACAACATTTTGATTGGTTGTGGGTTTCTGTAATGGTCTCCTCCTGTTGCAAAAAGAAGCTTCCTTAAGGGTGAGAACTGCATTATCTGTGGGTATAAGGACAAATGTTTGGATTTCTACATTTTTGGCTACAGGCTCTTTGTTCCCATGTGCTCTCTTGGTCCTCTTGGCCCCATCTTTCTTTCTCTCCTCCCCCACCTCTCATGGTCAGGTTCAGTCTGGACACTTCCAGAGGCCTCTGGTTGTACTCTTCCTCATACCTACAATAAAACCCTTCTCAACCATAACCTAAGAATGGTCACGTCCTTATTTTCATTCAGATACAACAAAGCAAACTTACTTTGTAAAGGGAGGCTTTTTCCTTGAGAGAAGCCTTCCTGCCAGCCTAGTTCTAGAGCCGCATCAGTCCCAAATAAACATACAGGAGGCTGTATTAATTATGAAGCTGTTGGCCTTGCTTGTTTCTTACTAGCTAGCTCTGACTTAAGTAATTACCCCATAATTGTTAATCTAAGTATGTCTCTTACCGGAGAAGTTTCCAGGCTTCCTACCCCATGGCGTTACATCTCGACTCTCCGTCTTTCTCCTTCCCAGAGTCCTCCTGGACTCCTAGTCCCACCTATCTAGATTCCTATTGGCCAGCAGTGCTTTATTGACACGGTGGGTCCCTCGGAGGGTGAGGGGCAGACAGAGACTTACAGACGAACTTGAGTGGAAGAAGTTTTATGGGGAAGGGAAGGGAGTGGGGGAAGGGAAAGATGCTGGGTCCTCCTGGCAGGTGGGGGGGGCGGGTCCAGCCGGTCTCTTCCCCGGAATGAGCAGGATGGTGAGTGTTGACAACTCAAACCCTACCCCCTACTAGTTACTGGGGGGGGGAAGCAGGGGGAGATACACAGAGTCGAGAGTCTGTCGAATCAGGATCTCGATTTATTCCAACAGGCAGGAACTTATATAGGGCTGAGGTAGGGGATGGCATTCTTAGGATAGGGTAATGTGACATGAGGAGTTTAGGGCCAATAATATTCCACCAAGCAGGCAGGGGGCAACCTTACATCAGGTCTGTCTGAGTCACCCCCACGTGGAGGTTACAGATCAGAGACAGGTCGTCAAACTCTAGCCAGGCTCAGGAGGTTACACTGGGCCTCCAATCTGAGCCCTAAACTCAAGTCAGGCTCAGGAGCTTACACTGGGCCTTGCATCCGAGCCTTTCTTAGGCCCAACAGAAAGAGGGGGGGAGAGAGAAGAAAAAGAAAGACAGATCTGTCTGCCTCAGAGAGGTGGTAGAAAGAGAAAGAGCAGGTGGGTGGAGTCTTAAAGACTGCGTGCAGACTACGTAGGGATGTAGCAGCCATAGGACCCTGGGCTGGCCAGGGTACTGCCTAAGTGCATCCTGCCAGGTGACGGGGCAGGCCAGAATAATGTCTGAACCCTAACAGTCACCATGATGATTGTGTGATTGCAGTGTGATAAATGCTGTGACAGAAAAGGACCAGGGTGTTGGGAGCAGGGAGAAGTTCCTGGAGGAGTCTGGGTGGATAGCACGCATTATATTAGTATACTGTTGCATGCTGTTGGAGCTGCAGAAGCTGGCTCTGCAACTGTCTTTGCCTCACCCTTCAGACCCAAGAATGTGTGTCTAAGAGTGTCCTGCAAGACCCCCTGTGTGGAGATGGGCTGGTTCCCACCCCACTCCCAGCACTGCGAGCGTAGGAATGAGAATAGTTAACCAGCCCATGGGAGAAAAGGGGAACCGAAGTAAATACATGTCCTTGAACTCAGCGGCATGACATTTTTAAAAAAACCTGTATTGGAGACTAAGCTGACTGGAAGTCTCACTCGAGGAGAAGAGCTGCCTGGGACCCTCCTTGTCAACTAGGACTGTCAGTCAATGCCAGCCGACTGCTTTGGTTCCCAGGGCTTCTCCAGTGGCTTTCTGCTGCCACGTCTGATCCCATGCTCTCCTGTCTTCCTGCTGTTTGCTGTCTTGCTCTATAATTCCTGCTTGCTATATACTTAGTAAACTCACTCAAAACCAAAAGCATAGCTGTCTCAGCGCATTCTCTGTGCAGGACAGGTGAGTGATGGTGCCTTCCCAAAAGGAACAAACAGCACCATCAGGGATGTGGAGGTTGGAGAGGGGCTCATCTGTCATCAAGAGAAGTGACAAAACCCCAGGATTTCAGCCAAGTCTGACATAGGTTGTGAGCTCTTACCTCTGCTTTATTGCAGAGCAAGTATCAAGCTGTTCTCCTGATGATTTCACTGCCCCACACCAGATCCCAGAGACAGGACCCCTCGGGTTGTTCCTCACTGATGTCCCTGGGCACAGGCTCTGCCTAATTTCCCGTTTTCAGTGGAGCCAAAGGATGCATCGTGTTCTATTCCACGCTGGAACATGGAACATGTCATGAACACTCAGCAAGTCTCTCTTCTCTCTTCCCTCCTCCCTAGAAGGCTGAGTAAATGTAATACACTAGAAAGTAGTAGAAAAATGAGATGCTCTTCTAATCTTACCTCAAGACTTCTCTTCCCACCAAATGCCTGTGTCATCTGGAATGGAAATTTCCATTCTTTCTTATCCATGCAGAAAGGCAGACAGAGCCTAGGGTTCAAAGCAGATACCCAGCTGTGCAAGTCAGAAAAAAACAGAGCAGCTGAGTCTGTGTCTTACTCTCTCTGGTAGGGCAGAGCTGTGCGTGTGTGCACACACTTGAGTGTGTGTTTGTATATGTCTGAGGGCAGAGCTGTGTGTGTGTGTGTGTGTGTGTGTGTGTGTGTGTGTGTGTGTGTGTGTGTAGGCGTAAGGTTGGCATCAGGTGTTGACTCTCACATTCCACCTTGTTTTATTTCAAGGTTCTGCATTCATTTCTTTAGTACGTGCCACATGTGCAGGTCAGAGGATCACTCTCAGAAATGAATCATCTTCTTCCACCATGATCCCCAGGATGGAATTCAAGTTGTCAGGCTTGGTGGCAGGCCCCCTTACCCTCTGAGCCACCTCACTAGCCTGTCACATTATTTTTTAAGGCAGAGTCTCTCACTGAGCTGGCTGGATTGGCTGGCTAGCGAGCAAGAGACCCTCTTCTTGTCTCCACCCACCCGAGGACTGGGATTACAGGTGAGCATCATTCCCTCTGCTGAGGTAGCAATCTCTTTGCCAACTGAACCAGCTTCCCAGACCCTCTGGGCTGTGTCTGAAGGCCTGTGCCCACTGGAGGCTCTGTTCTTGGGTCACTTCTAGGCACTTGTCATGTCCTGACTGGGTTAGCCTGTATATCCTTGAATAAATATTTCTTGGCTTCCAGCTCCAACTCCATTTTATCTTCCTGTTGTGCCAGATGGATCTTTGGTCTTTGTGATCTGCAAGCATAACCAGTGCTCATGAACTCTCAAGCTGCTTCCTGCTTCTGGATTTCTTGAAAACAGCACTCCTGTACTAAGATGTCAAGCCACAGATCTGAGCATCAGTCTTTTTTGGATTTCTCTTTCTCCTCTGTAGCTGTCACCAAGTGCTGTGTAACAAATTAACCTGACATATGTTTTGAGATAGGATGTCACAAGTCCTCAAATTCAATATGTAGCTAGCCAAGAATGGCTTCGAACCCCTGATCCTTCTGCCTCCACCACCCAAATGCTGGGATTATAGACATATAAAACTGTAATGTGAGTTTTCTTGGCCCAGCAAGGTCCCACTACCCTTCTCTGCCCCCAAAGAAGCACAGGGATGCTATATTAATTATGAAATTGTTGGTCGTTGGCTAGGGTCTCTTACTGGCTAGCTCTGTCTTAATTATTAACCTATTTCTATCAATCCATGTATTTCCAGGAGTTCTTGGTGTATGGGAGAATGCCGGACTGCAACTCCTTTGCCTGCTACATGCATCTCTGCAGAGAAGAGAGCGAATTTCCTGTTTGTTCCTGCTTACATCCTGATTCTACCCAGCTACAGACCTCTAGACCTCTATGGTTAGCTAGTGTCAGTTTATGCCCAGCTACCATCACTTCATAGGATCACATGACCACTCCTCTCTGCCTATACTTCTCAGAATTCTCCTTGTCTCCTAGGCCTACCTATTATCCTGCCTGGCCAATCAGTGTTTTATTCATCAACCAATAAGACAAACATATACACAGAAAAAGCTCTGTTCGTAGCACTAGGGATTGAACCCAGGTTTTCATACAGGCTAGGCAAGCATTTTACCAACTGAGCTATGCTCCCAGCCCAATATTTTGAAATTATTAATGAATACTGTGTTAAATTATGAATACTGTGTGAGGTGGAACCTTTGGAGGATCCCATGGTGGAACAAACGGTGGGTGAGAAACAGAGAGAGACCTGCAGACATAGCTTGTATGGAAAGTCTATTGGGGGAAGAGAATAGAGTAAGGGAATGTAAAGGAGATGGGGAGAGAGAGAAAGAAGAGACAGAAATACAGACACAGAAAGAGACAGGAAATTGCCTCCTCCGAGAAATGGCAGAGAGAGTAGAAGTGGGAGGAGTTTGCCTCTTAAAGGAACCTTCAAATCTGCTTACAGAGCCATGCACAGAGGTCCCCAAGGGACAAGGACAGGTTTGCCTGGATTACAACAATTAAAGCTTTCATTTTTGTTCAAAGTTTTAGAAGACCTGGATCTACCTTCTGTAGGCAAGGCTTCCCCACCCAGAAAGACACTGTAGTCATGTGGGTAATTTTGCAATTCCTATCCTAGGCCCTGGGTCTTCCTCCTGCATAACATCTCACACAGAATCTTGAGGTAGGGGCTGGGCATAACCAAAAACTCCACTCTTCTGAGTGAAGATAGGTAAAGAAGATGAGGAGGATTATCCAGGGTTCTCAGGCTCATGTCTGGTGTCAGACATATGCATGACTGACCTCCAACTCTCTGAGCTGAATAACAGAAACCACTTCTTCTCTAAGCATCAGTTTTCTCATCTGCAAAACAGGGAGTGTAGGGGGAAGGGCCAGCTAAAGAAACACACTCTGAGCAAAGCCAAAGAAAACACACTTTGGTCCTGAAACCAGAGCCAAAGAAATGCACCCTGACCCTGAAACCAGTGCCAAAGAAACACACTTTGTCCCTGGAATCAGAGTCAGTGAAAGAAATGCACCCTGGCCCTAAAATTAGAGCCAAAAGGCTAAAAAGGACCAGTGAAATAAGCACACTTTGGCCATGAAACCAGAACCAAATCTGACCCTAAACCTGTGCAGAAAACTGACCAATCCCTGAGAAGGAGATCTAGCCAGTCTGAGCTCAGGAATTGAAATCTGACCAATCCCCACCCTGGAAATACCATTGAAAAAACTCCACCCCTAAGAAGCCCTATATAAACCCTGTGCCTATTCAGTTTGCTGCTGTCCTCTTCCACCCTGGCAGAGGCAGCCACTCTCCTGGATTCTTAACCTCCCAATATCTCTTGAATGAGGTTTGGGTGAGACCTTCCTTCGCTGAGACAGAGCAGAGGAGAGAAGTAGAACTTTTCACTGGAGCCAGAGCAGAACTGTAACACTTTGCAAAGCATAGTAGTTACACGCCTGGGAACAAGCCTAACTGTAACAACTTTG